GAGCAGCATGTGGTGCCAAGAAGCTGTGGGTTCCTAGAGTGTTCCTACCCTGGGCCACCAGACCAGGATCTGATAGAAGGGCTAGAGAGGGTCCTGCTTACAGTTGTCAGCTGCTACAGTGTCCTCTCAGTGGCCAGAAGTCTCAGGGACAGCCAGAATCAAGGGCCAGTTACATGGGCATGTAGGTTGAGAAGCGTGTCCCTGAGCTGTTATGACCGAGGCAGGCCCCGGGTGTTCTCTGCCAGTGGCCAGGACACTGATCAGAGAGGAGCGGGTGAAGAGTGACTGGTGGTGGCCAGGTGCTGCATACCAGATGGTGGCAGGTTCTCTCCAGCCTTGTGTGAGGGCTGCGCTGGACTGTTGCGGTCCTCAGCCTGACTTCAGAATGGTTCTCCTAGCCCCAGTGCGGGAAGAACTGCCAACACGGGGACTCAGCCAGACCTGATAGGCCCTCCTTCCTGAACACGCTCCCCAGCCATCTATCTCCTATCAATCCTCACTCTTTCTGGCCTCCTCTGAGTGAGCCACCCATGACAGGTACCAAAAGACCTTTCACCTCTCCTGCTTCCCACTAACATCCTCTCCATGAAAGGCAGTAGCCTGCTTAGAGTCCCCCAGTACATCCCTGGTGCCTGCTCTAGAGCATAGCTGGGTGCCAGGCCACTCTGCAGAGCCCCTGCACAGGTGGGCCCAGGCAGGGGGTCCAGCCTCCCTGCACATCTCTCCCCGAGCTCTCTAGAGCTTCCTCTCTCCTAATGTCACCTGCCATCCCACCCATGTGCTTTTCCTTGGGCTGCTGCTGATGGCCCTGTCTGGCCTTTTCCAGGCTCGGCCCCTGAGGTCCAGCTCAAACACCATCTCCTTTAGAAATAAGTCTCCCTAGCTGCGGCCACTACCTTTCCTGTCAGAACTAAGTACTAATTGCTCCTCCCTTAGTCTTTTCTGTGTCTCTGTGCCTACTCTGATAGGATTGTTTGTTCATGCACATTCTTTGTTATATTCTAAATGTTACAGAGACATAGATGTCTGTCCATTCACCATTTTGGAAACAATGTGTTTTGCAAATTTTTTACCCTGCTTGGAAGAAGCCTTTAGCCCTCACTAACATTTTAATGACTGGTTAAGAAACAGAAAGTGGGCCAAATAGAATTGCTCAGATTTATTGGTGTCTTCTGGGGTGCTGCCCCACCCACCTCACATACTGCAGAAGTCAGCCAAGAAGTCTCTGGCCCATGCCAGTGTGCTCAGCAACCATCCAGGTTCTCTCCAGCAACACACTGCAAACAGCACAGAGGTACCAGCTGAGGCAGGAATGCCGAGCTGTCCCTTGTTGTCCTCAGAAGTATCTGGCTTTCTGCAGAGCCTATGGCTCTGGAAGTCTAAGAAGTACTTTCCAGGGAGCTCTTCTCTGTGCAGGAGTTGTAAAGGCAACCTGAACTGACCCTTGCTCCACTCACTTTAGGACATGCCCTACCAGCAAGCTGGGCCACCCTGAACCTGCTGCAGGCTCTCATCAGTGTCCACCAGCTACCAGGAGGTCACAGGCCTCATGGGAAAAGCACCTGCAAACCATGTGGAATCAGATATGCAAACAGCAGCTGGGTTTATGAAGCTACTGGGGAGTTATCCTAAAGTTCTGCAAACTGCTATTTGTCTTTGAGTGCTAGGTACCTTTTGTGTAGTGCTGTGGTTGCAGGTGTTTAGGAATCCTTGTCTTTTAGAGATTCATACTGAAATATTTATTGATGGAAAGATAGCTGAGAGTAGCTTTGAGATCATATGGAAAGGAGGGGTGAAGAGTAAAGATAACAGAAGATTGGCCCCCAGTTGTGGGTGGCATGGAATATGAATTGGTGTTTATTATTCTATTCGATTGACTTGGAATTTTTCATAATAAGTTATTGGAGTTTTTTGGGTTTTGGTGGGGGTGGTACCGGGGATCGGACTCAGGTCCTTGTACTTGTGAAGCAGGTGGCGGAACCACTGAGCTAAATCCCTGGCTCAGTTGTTGTTTTTAGTACATGGAAAGGAAGGTAGAAAGGTTATTTTGTTCTCAACCTCTCATTTCTTAGGTTCCTTTTATTGTGTCTTTGTCTCATCCAAGGTCACCTCTGAGGATCTCCTTGTTAGGGAAGAGGGTCCACATTATTGCCATACGCAACCCTTTGTCACTTTGTGCCTAACTTTAACTTTCCTTAAATTTCCTCAAATAGGTTTAAAAGGCCTTGAAAATAGGATCTGTTTCCTGCCTCATTCAGATAAGGGTGAGGAACTGGGCTTCTTTTGAGATGAGTCCACCGAGAAGGAATCATGGCCTCTCGTGGCAGATTACAGAGGAGTAGTGTGCTCTTTTCTACATGCCTGTGCCCAGGAAAGTGGGCACAAGAGCACTTTAAGAGAGAGATGTTTGCACAGAGCTAACTCTCCTGGGAAGGCCACTGGTGGAGCTGCATTCTGATGGAGCCTGGGACCCCTGGCCAGTTAGAAGCATAAAATGTGGAGGACAGGCTCAGTGCTGAATTATTGAATCTCACGCTGTTTCTGTATATTTCCTTCTGGACCAGAAGCTCTCGAGTCCATTAGCTTAACATTTCCAGAGTGGATTTTTCATTGGCCTCATTCCCACCCTCTTCTTGTTTCCAATCCCCCCACCACCACGACAGCCCAACATGGAGTGCCCTGTGCTTGCTATGTTGTCCTCAGACACTCCCCACTTTCACCACCCAGCATTCTGCCCCTGCATACTGCAGACAGAGTTGTGAGAGAGCAGAGAAAGACTCACAGGAGGTGACAGGGAGTAGAAGAGTAACTATATCTCTGGGGTGTCTACTCATATGGGTTAGCTGTCTTGTCTGCTCCCCCACCATGTGCCACTTGCTAGTAGTATGACATAGAAGAAGCAACCAAAAACCATGCATGTCACATCAGACACTTTAAGAGCTGTGGGTGAATGAGTCAGTCAGTCCAGGAGAGGCTGCCAGCTGCCAGCTGAGTAACCAGGCAAACCTTTCTTGTTGATGTGACCAAGGTAAATGTAGAAGCTGTGCTTTGGACCATATGCAATGAGCGGAGGAGGAGGAGGATGGTTGCCTGGGAGCTTGCTATGGGCCACCATTGGATGTTGCTGCAATTTTTAAATCTTTGTTGAAAGTGTCAGTATAGTAACACATCCAGAGAAGCAGGGCCAATCCAGAAACTATGGTCTGTTTCCTGTGTGCTTCAGTCAGTGTTAGTGTTCATATGAAAGGTGTTGCTGCTTCTCTAGTGGTGTCTCTTGTGTGTTGAATGCAGATGATCTGTAAAGATCATCTTATTAATAGCTTATTAATAGCCTCATGACATCCTTCTGCTATAAAATCTGTATCCATATTGGGGGACATGGGGACTCTTATCTTTTTTTTATTTCCTGATAACCAAGTAGTTTTGTTTTATTGTTGTCACCACCTTAATACTCTGGAATTACACAATAGGGTGGCAAGAGTAGGGGAATCCATAGTAGATTTTGCAACTGTGACAAGAAAGGCCACCATATTTTCCATCGTGTTGCACTGAACTGTTCATCACCTCATGTAATCCTCACAGAATCCGCTTGCACGTTGGTGATAGCATTATCCCCATCCTACCAAGAAGTCCTAGAAAAGTTTAGTCCTTTGTCCCCAAGTCTACCCTGCTAGGAAGTGGCAGGGCAGAACCCCGGTTCCTTCAAGGAGGCCAGAGTCTGTCCTCATCACAGTGCCTCCCACAGCACTGAAGCACTGCTCTGGGCCCAACTGCGACCTCTCCCAAGGTCACGCCTCCCTCTGCGCATGAGCATCCAGAGCCCTCAGAGTCTCCGGCAGTCACCAGTGTCGAGCTCCTATCCACGGACCTCCCGCTCCCAGCCATGGTCCTTCTCAGAGGACAAAGGTATGCTGACCACATATGAGTCATCATATATCATTCCCCCTACTCCTACTTGGTTTTCTGTCAAGGTCAGATGGAACCAGAAAAAGAATCTAGGGCTGAGAAGAGTGAGCTGTGCTTTCTCAGCCATGGTTCTTATGCTATGGAAGCAGTAGAACAGCGTGCATACATCATGAAAAGATGAATGGGAAGAAAATGATTGGAAATGAAAGTAATGAATAGAAAGAAAAACATACTTTCCTTCCTAACAGCCACACTTAGTTCAGTCTTTATCACATACCTGATGGAAGCTTCTTTCTCAAAATTAGGTTCTGGTCATCTAGTATTAGCTGCCTGTCACCTCCCTGGCTTAATGCTGCTCTGGTTGGACTGGTAAATACAGAAAGCAGCCCAGAATCAGATAAAACTGATGTGATTATAGGATTAAGCCTAATGCTTGTTATGTGGTTCAGCAATTACTGGAAAAAGGCTTTGGTGTTTTCAGAATTCCCCATGAGGCATTATTTATAATATCACAACTCTGGTGGGGCTCTTGCCCTCTCCAACACACATCCCCTGGAGTTTTTTTTTGTTTTGTTTTGTTTTTTCTTTTCTTTCAAAAGTTTATTTAGTATCAAGCAAGAGGAGACTTTGCTTAACACTACAGAACATTTCAAGACTTAAATTACAAAAGAATACCACATTATTTGCATTTGTAATTGGCTTCCCTTTTTACACATGTTGGCAAGAGGAAAAAAAGCTAGCATATGGCTGAAAGATAAAATAACAATTCTGTGGAAACCTTTGAAATGAAAGGAAGGCTTATGTTAAAAGAATGGATTAATATATTTAGTAAACCTGTTTTTTTAACACTAGTTAAAGTTTTTCTTTTTCTTTTGATGACCTATTTTTTCATATACAGACTGGAAATAACAAAATTTTACATGTCTTTTTTTTTCCTCACCAGGTTGATGTTTTGACAGATTAGTTTTAAATTCCATTCATTCAGTCTTTAAACATTTTGATTTATTTAAAAAGGGATTGTTCATAGAAAAAATTACTTTGAACAGTAGACAGGACGCTGGAGATTGGCTATTTCACAGCATCAGACAATACAATCAGTATCTGCCACGTGGCTGGTCCCTGTAGATGCCCTTCTCTGTCTTCTCCCAAGGCGCCTTGTGTCTGCAGTTAGTCCGCTCCTCTTGTCCATAGGAACTGTAGGTCTCCTGGCTGAGCCCGTGTCCATAATCATAGTCATTAGTGCCACTTTGGGCTGGGGTGCTGTAGCTGTTATCGCAGGAACTGTAACTCTGTCCATCATAAGCAGTGCCACGCCCATCATCATAGTCATTTTCTCCACAGGTCTCCCATGCTGGGGCTGGTGGTAGAGGTCTGTACCCAGTGCAAGGGACTCCTCTTGCTATGGGCATGAGAAGGCCTTTTCCCCGGCTCACTGGCCCTCGGGGTAGAAAGGATTCCCCTGGTCATTGGTGTCCCTCGTGGAACCCCAAGTCCAACTGGCCAGGCTGTAACTGTTCCTCTTCCCCTGGTTATTGCTGGGATTGGCACACCTCTTGTATGCAAGGTGGGTTTCTCTCGAACTACTGGAACATCTGTGTTTTCTGATCCACCATTCAAATATGTTAATTCCAGCAGCTGTACTTGCCTGATCTCATCATTATAGTCAAGGATGAGAAACTTCTTGATCTCTTCCAAAGTATGTCCCATGCGGGCATAAGCTTCTGCGGGTGGGGCAAATACTTCAATGAGGACAGGGAGGTCGTCACTGAGGTTAATTGTGAGGAGTTGCCTGCTGTTCACTGTGCCATGGGTGTGGGGGGTGTTGGGCTGGAAGCCAGTGCTGAGGCCCATGCATGGACTCTGATTGGCAAACATTGACGGGGCCTTTGGAACTAAGTACTGGGTAACAGGAACAGAGCTTGAAGGAGAGCCATAGCCCTCAGGTGGACTGGATTACAAAGGAGCCTTATCAGTAGGCCTCAGAAAACAAACAGGATACCTGGTAGCATTTCCCATGTTCCCGAGGAAATCACCGCTGGGAGGGCCACTATTGTGGCCAAGGGTCTGTCCTACAGCCATCAGCTTCTACTTGAGTAGAAATTGCACGTCTTGTCTCCTCTCCAGGTCCCATTCTTTGAAGGTGTTTGGGTAATTACAGCATCTATCGCTGTCTTTGGTTGTTAGTTTTAGTGGATGAATTACCTGCCATGTCAAGAGACTTCTGATCCCTCTGAGCATCTCTTTCCCTCCCACTGGCTGTTTTCACCTGGCTTGGTAAGTCAGAATAGCTCAGTAGTGTCCATTTCTGCTCTGTCGCATGAAAATGAGCCTGTCCCTAGCCTCTCTGTCTTAGAGCAGCTTATGTGATGACACTGACAGAATAAGTCCTCTAACCTCAGTGATGGGACAGTGTGGAGAAGTGGCAAGGAAAGAGGAATTGATTATTTTTGATTTTGAAGAGTTTCACTTTGAGCCAGCAGCAAATTTTTTTCAATTCCACACATTTTGGTTACATCTGCAATAAGCAGTTACTAATCCTGAAAGACAATCTCCATTCCTCCCTGGCATTTCTTATACTGTACAGGAATCTCACTCAGTATACACCTTTGCTCCTTGAGCTATAAAGAATGTTAGTGGCTGCAGACTGAGCTATTCAGGCACTCTGCTTACACTGTGCCTTGGCCTCTTCTGCACTGCCCAGGGCCTCACCTAGTTCTTCCAAATCCCTCAGGTGGGAGAATAGGGCACAGAAACGTTCACAGGCCTGGCCTGATCCTCTAGCTCTGGGCCTGTTGCAGGGGGTGTGGGCAAGACAGCACCATTCATTCCCAGTGCACTGGGAATTCTCAGTACTAACAGTTGCATGGATCAAACCCAGTTTCTCTTCCCGCACCAAGCACAGCATAGATGCTCAATAAATACTTGTTAGTGTGAGTAATAAATTCCTATATTCCTTGGGGAAAGAATTCCAGTCTTTATAGAGTTTGCATCATTTGAACTTCTGGAATGGAGCTGGGTAAAGCAGGAAAGCAGCCATGAGCAAAGAAGCAGATGGCAGTCCAAGCCCTACAATAGAGAGACAGTGCTGTGTCTGTGGGAATTTGAGGCCACAGACCTCGCTCACAAGAGGCATGCAAGAGCAGCAGTCCCTGACCCATGCACCCCAGAGTTCCTTCTGTTCCCTTGGTGCTCTTAAAGCAGCATACTCTTGCTTTGCCAGGCTTTGGCTTCTGTGTTTAACAGCTTAGTAATTATCTCTTGATCAAAGGAGGCAAAGATGTGTGTAAAAATCACTTTCGGTAGCAAATATTTCTCTTGGAAAAGCCCCAGTATGCTGCCAACTTTGTCTCAAGTGTTCAGAGGGTACCATAGAACTACAGGCTGATTTAACCATATCAATCCCAGAGGAATCCTTCCCCAGTACTGGGAGCAGCATCTGATGGTGAACTGCCACGGGGGCTGGAGCTCCAGTGCCCAAGGGAAGACTTTCCTGTGACAGCAGATAAGTCCCACAGGGCAGAGAGGAAAGTGCTTCTGCCCTGGCCCCTCAGTAACCTGCTGTGGTTTCTCCAGGGAAGCCTCACTGTCACATCCAGGTAAACGTTCCCCAGTGAAGCCAATTTTAACCTTACCCTGCCTGAGGTGGCCTGATTCCTGCCTGTCCTCCTCTGTGAATCCCACTGACTGTTGGTATGAACCCTCACCTGACACCTCACCTTTTCAGGGAAGCCTTTTCTTGCCTCACCAACCATGAATAAACTTTGTGTCTCTAGAGGTTTATAGCACTTAGTCCTTGGTCTTTTTTAACACTGACATGCCAATACTAGGTACTCTTTGCCATGTACAGTATGGCTTTTTGTTGATATTACTTCTTTTAGATACCACTCTGGTATCTAAAACAATACATGGCACATCCTCAAAAAGGAGAGGAGAGAAATAAAGGAAAATTAATGTTTTTTGATAATTCCTTGAACAAATATATTCAGAAAGATATTGTTGATTTGTTACCATTGTTGTTTTACCATGTGATCCTTTCTAAAATACACAGCCTTGGGCCAGGGATTTAACCATGCCTGCCTTGCAAGCACAAGGTCCTGAGGTTGATCCCCATTACCAGAAAACAAAACAACAAACAAACAAACACAGCCTTGCTGGGTGGTACACACTTGTAATCTTGGCTGCCTGGGAGGCTGAGGCAGAAGGATCATGAGTTTGAGGTAAACTTGGAAAACTTTTTTTTTTTTTTTTTTTTTTTTTGAGACAAAGTCTTGCTATGTTATTTAGGTTGGTCTTGAACTCACTATGTAGTCCAGGCTGACCTAGAACCTGCAGAGATCCTCCTGCCTCAGCTTTCAGAGTGCTGGAAGTACAGGCTTGTGCCACCTCTCCCAGCTGTTCAAAATCTTATCTCATAATAAAATAAAAAAAGGCTGAAGAAGTAGCTCTGCACTCTTTAGGTTCAAGGTTCTAGTACTACAAAAGGAAATAAAAAATGCACAACCTCAGTCAATTGAGGAAAGTCTTTTATGCTAGTTTTACCTGAAAGGGAGGCCTTTGGGTGAGGGGTTTGGTTGAGGAGCAGTGACCTCAAGTGAACTCTGGCCCCTGAGAGCAATTTCCTACTTTGCTTCTGTCCATCCAGCAAGCCAACCCTGGGTGTTGCATGGAGTGTTCAGTTACAAATACCCCTACTTTCCTGTTTATCCCTCTCTTCCTTGAGAAAGAAGCCATCAGGTATAGGGGTGTTACTCCAGGGTCTTTTAATTTTCTACATTATCGAGATTTGGGGGCATATAATGTTTGTGTGTATTTATGGGGTAACTGTTATAGTTCAGCACATGTATGTGGCATGTAATGATCAAGTCAGAGCAAATAGCATTTTCATCACCTATTTCAGGAACGTTCAAACTCTTCTCTAATCCTTCCAAACTGTAGAATTAGTTGCCGAAGATTGAGGTTGTCCTATGGGGCCATCCAGCAGCAGATCAGCCTTCTCCTCTAACTGTTTTGGTACCTGTTATTCCTCCTTCCAGGATTTTTTTATGTGACAGTCTGTCCTAGGGTCAGGAGAAGATATTGGATCAACTGTCCATATTTTCTTTTTTATGGTACATTTTAGGTATTCAATATAATGACATCCATCATTGGAAATTTGTACCTTTACATATATCTTGGTTCTTATTTTCTTTCCCATTCTGCTACCCTCCCTTCAACCCCTCCACCCCACCCTATTTACAAAGACTTTGTTTCCATTTTTTTCATTTTCTCATATTAATTCCTTTCCCTTCCCCCCTCACTTCCCCTTCTCCTTTTCCCCTTTTCTTCCTGTTTCACCTTATCTACTATACCTTTTAGTCCTTATTTACACTTTCAGTTTCTCACACCAGAGAAACTATTCAGTAATTACAACATCTCTAATTTCTCATTTTTTATGGCCATTTCATTTTTAAAAAACACACATTTTCTCTATCCAGGCTCCAGTTGGTGGGCAATTGGGCTGTTTCCAAGTTTTAGCTATTACAAACTGTGCTACTATGAACATGTGTGCAGGGGTATAGCTGGGTCAAATGGGACCTCTAGTCCTAGTTCTTTGAGGTGTCTTCATACTGATTTCCACAATGGTGGCACCAGTCTACACTCCCATCAGCAGTGGAACAGGGTTTCTTTTTCCCCACAGCCCCACCAGCCTTTGTTAGTGGTTGATTTCATAATAGTAACCATTGTTTCTTGAGTGAAATGGAATCTCAGCATTGTTCTCATTTGCATCTCTCCAATGACCAGTGGTGTTGAACATTTTTTCATATGTTTAATTGCTATTTCTGCCTCTTTGTCTGAGAACTGTCTGTTCATTTCAGTTGCCCATTTTTGGATTGGGTCTTTAAATTTGGAAGGTCTGATTTTTTTAAAGTTCTGTGTACATTCTAGTTAGTAGACCTTTGAGGAACAGCTGGTGAAAATATTTTCCCATGTTGTGGGTTGTCTCTTCACACTTGGTTGTTTCTCTTGCTGTGCAAAAGCTTTTTTAATAAGAAGAGATCCTACTTATTGATTGTTTGTGCTAGTTCACGTACAAACTATGGTTTTGTACATAAAATCTTTTCCTTGCCAATGTCTTCAAGAGTTCTACCTAACCTCTCTTCCAGCCTGTTTAGTGTTTCTGTTTTAATGTTTAGATTTTTAATCCATTTCTATTTTAGTTTAGTGCATGGTGAGAGATATAGATCTAGTTTTAATCTTTGGCAGGTTGAAACCCAATTTTTCCAGCACCATTTATTAAAGAGTCTATCTTTCCTCCAATAAGAGTGTTTGGCTCCTTTGTCAAAGGTGAGGTGGCCGGAGTTGTTTTTGCATCTTCTAATCTGTTCCACTGGTCTTCAGGTCTGTTTCTTTGCCAGTATCATGCTGTTTTATCACAGTAGCTTTGTAGTATAGTTTCAAGTTGGAGATTGTGATATCCCCTACCTTGTCTTTATTGCCTAGAATTGCTTTTGCTATTCTAGGTCTCTTCTTATTCCATATGAATTTTTGGATTGTTTTCTCAAGGTCTGTAAAGTATGCTGCTGGAATTTTAATTGGGATTGCATTTAATGTATATAGCAATTTGGGAAGTATGGCCATTTTCACTATGTTGGTTTTTCCTACCCAGGAGCAAGGGATGTCTTTCTATTTTCTGATGTCTTCTTTGATCTCTTATTTCTGAGTGCTATAGTTTTCAGAGTAGAGGTCTTCAATTTCTTTCATTAGGTATTTCAGTTTATTGGATGCTATTGTGAAAGGAATTGTTTGCCCCATTTCTTTCTCAATAAGTCTGTTATTTGTGTGTAGGAAGATTATTGTTTCTGTGTGTTTATCTTGTATCTAGCTACTTTACTAAA